ACAAAGTTTCTTTATGTGACACTTGCAGTTCGTCTGTGTTCGTCTACGCCCGTCTCGTTTATTCCTGAGCAAAGAAACACGTTTGCTCAGTTACAATTTTTGTTTGCCCGTCAGCTTTATTTATAGAGCACTTTAAACACCCACAGGACCAAAGTGCTAACACATAATAAAGCAATCAGATAATACAGAACGATTAAAATATTTAAAAGTCAATATTAGAGATGGTGTCAAAGGCCAGGGAGAAGAGAAGAGTTTTCAGAAGGGATTTAAAAACAGACAGGGAAGAGGCCTGTGTGATGTTCAAGGGAAAGAAGCCAAGCAGAAGTTTCCAATTCAAACCGAAGATGAAACGTTGTTTTTCTCACGGCGAGACTCAAGTTTTCAGCTTAAAGTGTAAGTGCTGGCTGAAGGTTGCTGATTGTCCGCACACCTTCTCATCAGCCGTCGTCCTCACGAGCCCTGAAGCTGTCACAGTGACTTTCAGCTACCTTGGGCAGTGTCTGGCAAGTCCTCTCCTCGTGGTGTATCCTGGTCTGACCCACCAGTAAAACCCTCAGAGATGAGTGAACTGGTGCCCTCAATCTACTGGAGCTGAGACCTGGAGACATAATGCATGTGGGTCTGATTATGCTGACTTGATAAATCATATTTGGGCTTGCAGTGAGAATAAATGACTTGTTCTGGTCACATTAAATAACTTCTCTAAACAAAATTCCAAAAAAAAAACTCGTTATGATATAAATGGTTAAATGTTGCCTAAATTTGTGCGTGTATTAAAACCAAAATAATCCTTGCTCAAATAATTAATTTTGCCTTAAATAAAAGAGAATTGATTCTTGGCTGATTGTGTTTAGATTCGTTGCTGTTTTACTACTTTTCCAACAAATTATTTTCCTTTATCGTTTCAATTTGTTCATTATTGTTGACGATGTGCACATGAATGGGCAAAGTCCTGGGAAAAATATTCTTTCACATGTCTGAACAGAAAGAAAGCCCCTCTAGATATTTAATGTTTTCCATTTAATTAACAAGAACTGAATGAAGGCGATCAGTAATACATATCCAGTCATTAAAAGTTAAGAAAAACTTTTTAGGATTTTTTTTTAGATAACCTAAACAAGGTTCATTTAAATAAAAACTAAGTTGTGATGTTTAAAAAAAATGTGCTAGTACACATGCCATTAAATATCTTTATGTTCACATTTCTAACATATAAGACAGAACATTTTTGAAATACAGAAAGTGGAGTTTTATTATATTTTACAACGTCCTGCCTTAAAAATAGAGCCTGGGAGCGTGTACGTTTGACGTTTTCTCCTCCTCCTCCTCCTCCTCCTCCTCCTCTCTGCTTCATCTCAGCATCCTTCAGCAGGTGGAAATGTTCTACTCATTCTCTGAGTAAAATCTATTTTGCCCTCTTGACCAACAACATCTAATGATGAATGTCAGGACTGCAAACACATTATTTACTCCTTTTTTGAAACAAGCAACAAAGAACTCTAAAAAAACGGTTCAAAACATGAATAAAACATTAATGTCAAACTATGAACGGTGTTTAAATTTAAGCAAATGCTTTAAAATATATAGTGGAAATACACATTCTGAAGAACAAAGTCCATGTTCAATAATCCAGGTATACAATCCAACATGTTTCAGTCAGGTCATCGGGACAGTTTCTTTTTTTGTGCTGAAACGTTTCGCCTTCGATCCAGAAGGCTTC